AGAAAATAGCAACTAAAATTATTTGTTTAAATCTAATGAATATGTGCAATAAAAATAAATTATCAAAAACTAAAAAAAAAAAAAAATTTAACGGGGAATAAACGGGGAAATAATCTACCCCCGCCCCGCCCCGCCTTGCCTTAAACGGGGAACGGGACGGGGATGGGGAATGAATTTCTTAACGGGGCGGGGGACGGGGAGGGCATCCCTGCCCCGCCCCGTTGCCATCCCTAAACATACAATTCTTGTTCCAATTGAATAGAGGTCACCACTCTCACACAAACATTGGAATATACAACGAATTTCGCAAATTCAAGATAAATTATATGCCACAATTGCTGAATTTATGTATGTATGTATATTATTTTGGGAACCGTAATCTTAAACTATGATAATTATAATCTTTTTCTTTGAACTTGAAAATTTTATGGGCTTTTCCAAATTATCCTCTTGGGCATGATTTATTCTGTCATCTGGGCCTTAAATTCCTCATTTGGACCTTAGATGCAAAACTTCTAGAACACCACTCTTTTTTCTTTTAACACAAAAATCGAAAATATATTCGTATCTAATGATTCACAACGTATCGCTGCCATTCAAATTAATAACCATCTTTTAATCTTGATTAATGTGAAAGCAGATAAATGTGACTTATAATATTCGAGTCAACATGTAATAAAATGAAATGAGACTAGAAATGACAGCTCTCGTATCAAAAATAATATTCGTGAATAATTTATCGAGTAATTGAACTAAGGTCGTGTTTGATTGCCAAGAATTTCATGAAAAATGTCACATTCGAGAAAAACGAATTCCACTTTGACCGTTTGATTGTAATATGGAAATGGAAATCGAATTTTAAGGTACAATCACTTTAAGAGTGTGTTTGGTAGATGTTAAAATCGGCTTAAAATTGAAAAATTAGCCGTTATTGTTGACTTTCATTCGATGAGTGGGACCCACTAATGACTATATTTTCAATTTTAATTGCTATCAAATAAGTCCTAAGTTATATTTTCTTTGTTTTCATGAAAAATAAATTTCTATGGGTTTGTTGGATTTTTATTTTCCAACTAATATGGAATTAGAATTCATTTCCACATTTGTCTAGCAAACGTTTGAAAATAAAAACCTTTTTTTAGGATCCATTTGATAGACAAATGTGGAAATGAATTTCAATTCCATGTTAATTAAAAAATAAAAATTCATCAAACCTATAGAAATTCGTTTTTCATGAAAACAAAGAAAATGCAGTTTAAAGTGATTGTACCTTGGAATTCTATTTTCATTTCCACGTTGCAATCAAACGGCCAAAGTAGAATTCATTTTCTTCGGATATGACATTTTTCATGGAATTCATTGCAATCCAACAGGGTTTAAGTGAAAAAAAAAAAAAAA